GCCCCCTATTAGTAACATCTAACATTAATACAGTACATTGTGACAACTAATAAATACTAATATATTATTATTAGTCAAAGTTCGCACTTAATTCAGATTTTCGTAATTTTTACCCAGTGTCTGTTTTCTGTTCCAGGGGCCCATCCAGAATATTGCAATATATTCAGTAATTATAGTTGGTTGAATAGTGTCCCTTCCAAACTTCATGTCCACCTAGATGTTCAGAATGTGACTTTATTTGAATACAGGGTATTTGCTGATGTAATCATTTAAGAATCTTGAGATGAGATCATTGTGGATTCAGAAGACACTCTAAAACCCAATGAATCTTTATTAAGAAGGAAAGACAGAGAGACACAGAGAAGAGGATGATGTGAAGATGGAGAGACTGAAGTGATAGGTCTATAAGCCATGAAATCCCAAGGATGTTGGCAACCACCAGAAGCTAGGAGAGAGCTTCCCCGTCAGAGCCTCCAGAAGGAACCAACCTGCAGACACACTGTGTTCAGACTTCTGGCCTCCTAAACTGAGAGAATACATTTCTGTTGTTTTAAGCCAGAAGTTTGAGATAACTTGTCAGTGGAAATGCTGGGAAACTAATACATAGTCATGTCTTGTTAGGCTCCTCTTGATTCTGTTTCTCACATATCGTGTTTTCGACAGTTCTGAGGACTCATTGGGTATTTTGGAGAACATTTCTAAACTGGGATTTAATCTGTGTTTTACTCATGCTTAGATTGAAGATATATGTTCTTATATCTTCTTGACATAAAGTGCCATTTTCATAATTTATCAAGAGGACATACTCTCAACATGACTTAATACTGATGTTAATCTTGATCACCTGGCTGAGGTCAGATTTCATGACTATGAAGTTGTTCTTTTTCCCTCTTCACACACTGCAATCTTTGGAAGGAAGTCATAAGCAGACAATCAGGGCTGCTGAGCCTCAACTGTTTTTAAATGTAATTATCTTAAATATGTCCTCTACGCTGAGCAGCATATCAGATCGTAAAATATTTTGCTTCACCCATCAAGTATGATTTAAGAAATGCATAACGGATAGGATAATGTCTTACATTTACTACTATTTCCCCATTCTGATGTCCTTCTTTACTTTCTGATGTTCCAAGCCTTTGTTACCATTTTCTTTCCATTTAAAGAACTTCCTTTATCCATTCTTTATGGGTATGTTTGAAAATCTTAGTTTGGCTTCACCCAAGAATGTCTTCATTTCCCCTTCGTTCTGGAAGGGTGTTTTGTGCAGGACTTGGAATTCAAAGCTGACAGTCTTTGCTTCCAGTACTTGGAAAAATGTTATACCACTTGCATCTGGCCTCCAGGGTTTCAGATAAGAAATCTGCTGTCACTAGAACTGGTGTTCCCTATAAGAAAGACACTGCTGCTGTCTGAATACTTTCAAGGTTTTTTTTTTCTTTGTCTTTAATCTTTACAAGTTTAATTACATTGTTGTGCCATGGATTTCCTTTGGTTTGTCCTATTTGGCTTCACTTAGTTTCTTGAATACGTAGGTCTATACCTTTTGTTAATTTGGAATGTTATCAGTCATTATTTATTCAAATACTTTTTCAGCTCCTCTCTGTTTTCTCTACTGTTAGTGCTGCAATGATGTGAATGTTAGCTTTCTTATTATAGTCCGTGGATCTCTGAGACTATATTCACTTTTTTGGGTCTGTCTTCTTTCTGTTGTTCAGAATAAATAACGCTACTGATATGTCCTCAAGTTTACTGATTATATCCTGTCAATTCCACTCTACTATTGAGCCCATCCAGCAAGGTTTTTTTAAATCTCAGTTATTCTATCTTTCAATTCTATAATTTTCATTTCATTCTTTTTATAACTTCTATTTGTTTGCTGAGGTTTTCTATTTTTTCATTCGATTCAAGAGAATTCATAATTGCTTGTTGAAGTCTTTATTTATTTATTTATTTTGGCGATGGCTGCTATAAAATCCTTGTCAGATAATTCGAACATCTGATTCCATTTAGTGCTGGCATTTGTCAATTGTCTTTTCTCATTCCTATTGTGATTTTCCCAGGTTTAGGTATAATGAGTGATTCTGTACCATGTCTCAGACACTTTGGATATTATGAGACTCTGGATCTTATTTAATCATTACTTTTTGGCAGGCAGTCCTGTTGAAGCACAGCACAAGGTCTGGGTGGGTGTGCATGTTTAGCTTTTTGCTGGGCCCCGCTGACACCTTCCCAGTGAAAATGGGACACCAACTAGCACCACTCTGCTGCCTCTGATTGGGGGAGTAAGATCAGTTGCCTGCGGGGCTCTGCTGCCACCAGGGAGGGGAACCAGAAAGCTGCCTCGCACGGCTTTGCTGCTGCTGCTTGAGGGCAAAAGCTTAGCTCCTTACCAGGCCTTCCTGACTCTGAGGGTGGGATGAAGCCGGTGGAGACTGTCCCCTTTGCACTTACTCATTAGGTCTTCCCGCCGCTGGGTGGAGTGCAGACTCAGTGGGAGGCAGGACACTGCTCATGCTAATGTGGCTGGGAACTGGGTCTGTCCCGTGGGGCATTGTAGATCAGTCACCTACTTGGTCCCACTGAGACCGCAGGCGTGGTGGTGTGCTCTTCCTCCTTCTGTTTGGTTGAAGTAGGGCAGGTACTGCCAAAATAGTGCTTTGTGGTTAGACCACCCTCTCCCCAGTCCTTTGGCTGCAGGAACAGGCTCTTCTTGTAGCTCTTTTGTTACCTGGGCCTGTGCCAGGTTGGAGGTTTCTGCGGCATCCTTCCCACATAGATGGGAGGCAATAAGGAAGCCCAGGCATTCACCACTATGTTGTTTCAGAGGCCCGATGTCCTTAGGCGGTCAGCACTCGTCTTTCTACCTTTCAGAGTCTTCCTACACTCTGTCATTAGGTTATATCCAAGGGTTTTTAGTCACAAGAGGGAGGACCTAGGAGAAGGGGACTTCTCTCCTCTTTCTTTTACTTAACCAGAAGAGGTGGTAAGAGTCAGAAAATAAGCCTCTAGTGGAATAGGCAAAAATGGACCACTTTACAACTAAACTGAAATTGGCCACATTTTTAACTGGTGAAGAAAATAGACTAGACAAAATCTGTTGAAGAAGTTCAGACAAAGGATTTGTGTTTATCTGCAGTCACTGACTCTGACCTACTTTTACTAGAAACATTTTCATTCTACAAAAGGTCTATCTATGTGAGAGCACACAGGCAGTTTTTTCATGCACGTGACTGGGAGTCTCTTGCGTGTTCAAATCCCCCCAGTGGAATTTCAAATCTCTCTACTACTGCCTAGTGGTAACTACTTATGGTGTCTCAGCTGCATAGAGAAGTTTTCAGGGATCCTGTCGGCCCCTATTCTTTTCTTTTTTCTTTTTTATATACTATATACATAACATGCACACATCCTATATAAAAACACTTGAAGAATTTTCACAAAGTGAACATACCATGTAACCAGCCCCCATAGTCTAAAAAAAGAACTTCACGGAAGCCACTATCAAGGCTTCTAATACCATAGATTACTTCTATTGGCTACTCCTTTTCTTTTAAATTGGAATATTTCTATTGAGACAGTCGATTCTTACAACTGTAAAATATAATACAGAAAGATTCCTCATACTCTTTGCCCAGTTTTCCCCAAATGGTAACATTTTGCAAAAATACGGTATAATGCCAGTTAGAATACTGACATTAATATGATCCACCCATATTCTCTAGATTTCCCCGTTTATGTGTACTCATTTGGGTGCGTGTGTATATTAAGTTCAACACAACTTGAACTTATCTACCACCAGAGTCAAGATCCTGAACAGCTGCAACATCGCCAGGTCCTTGTGTTGCCCATTTTTGACCATACCCACCTCCCTCCCACGATTTCCCCTCCCCAACTTTCGGCAACTGCTAATCTACCCTCCATTTCTAAAATTTTGTCATTTCAAAATGTTATATAAACAGAGTGTTATGGTATCTAACCTTCCTCGGTTGGCTTTTTCTCACCATCAATATGGGTACCTCTTTTTAATATGATTGAAAAATCATTTTCAATTTTTCAATATGATTTTTCTCTTTAAGAAACTCCCATCAGTTTTACTAGAAACCCTCAAACTGTACCTGCTCTCTGATGGACAGATTTAAAATAGTGCTTCTTATCTTCTAAAAACCTTAGGGCAAATGTTTATCCTTGAATAAGCATGCCTAAACAAAAATGATCCTGATTTATGGTATTTCAAGGTGACTTGTGGCAAATGAGGAAAAGATTTTTTTTTTTTGTGAATAGAATTCTGGTCTCAAGATTTACTAGTAGTATGTTTTAAGAAAAACAAGAGCAACAATGCCCACGTAACTACATAAGCTTTATTGACAGAGGCATGTTGAATCCCAGCGAAGCCTGGAACGGTATTCTACGTCTCTGTAAAACTAACTTGCTATATTTTTTATTCTAATAAAAAATAAACTCATTGAGTAAATGAAACCACCACGATGGTTTGATATCTTAATAGATGGAAGATATCTATTAAGAATTCCATTTGGGGGGCGCCTGGGTGGCTCAGTCAGTTAAGCGTCCAACTTCAGGTCAGGTCATAATCTCACGGTTTGTGGGTTTGAGACCCGCGTCAGGCTCTGTGCCGACAGCCAGCTCAGAGCCTGGAGCCTGTTTCAGATTCTGTGTCTCCTTCTCTCTCGCCCCTCCCCTGCTCATGCTGTGTCTTTCTCTCTCAGAATTAAATAAAAACATTAAAACAAAAAAGAAAAAAAAAAAAGATTCCATTTGTAGAAATTTCTTTAAAAAGTACCAAAAACCCCAAAACGTTTCTGTTATCAACAATTCTATGGTCTACTTAATGAATTTCTCTACTTTTGACTTACTCTGTTACTAAAGTCCCCAAAACAACAGGTTCTAATTTTTTAAAAAGGCCAAGTTTGTAAATGCCTGGAGAGTTACTTATCTGATAAAAGATTATCTTCCTTGTACAGAGAGCTCTACTCACTTTTACTCACCTGTTCTCATACTGAAATTTTGCCAGTATGTCTTTGGCTTTGGTGTGACTGTTGAGTTGAATGGCCATGGACACCTTAGAGAGAAGTGGAGCATGGACCCTTATGACTCCTTCCGGCACGTCAGACTGCCAATGAGGAAAAGTTCAGTACATTCTGTCAAACTAGGATGAATATTGCTTTAATGATCACACTTAAAGATATGAAAATCAGGGGCGCCTGGGTAGCTCAGTCGGTTAAGCATCTGACTTCGGCTCAGGTCATGATCTCGTGGTCAGTGGGTTCAAGCCCTGCGTCAGGCTCTGTGCTGACAGCTCAGAGCCTGGGGCCTGCTTTGGATTCTGCATTTCCTTCTCTCTCTGCCCTCCCCAACTCACACTCTGTTTCTCTCTCTCTCTCTCTCAAAAGTAAATAAACATTAAAAAATTTTTTTAAAAAGATATGAAAATCAGTGGCACTATGAATTAGGAAAACTTGTAAGTATGAACAGTATATAACCAGAATGAAACACTGCTTTCTGTTTACAGGAGATTCAGTAATGAGTAAATTTAACCTGGGATTTTACTTCTGTTACACACTTAAGGCACTTGCTATATAGTCCCTTAAAATAATAAGACAAGTAACACTAGGTGATGACAAAAATCTCATGTTGCTATCAGTTCATTCCCTTGAACTATGCCCTAAATAAGCTTACTTCAAGCAGGATTCTGTATTTCAGTATATTTTAAGAAGATTCACCTTCTCAAAAATCTTAAAAAAGATTTTTAAATATTCTTTTTCTTTAGTTAGTAACAATGATTGGCTGATCCCAGTTGAATTCCAGATGAGAACTTAAAACTTGACCCCTCATGGTGTACTCGGAACACTCTGATGAGCAGGTGTGGACCACTGAATCTCTGAATCTCATGTGACAAGACTGGCCTGGAGACCTACCCTGAAGCTCTCCTTAAATGAAATAGTCAGAGGATGGCACTGTCTAATTAACATAAATTGCTGTTCTGTCAGGACTGGAAAATTTCTTTTGTTTCAAAATTTGGAATGTTTTAAAAATTAATTCTCTATCTAGATATGAATGGAAATAAATTTCTACCTGAGGATCTGGCTACTCAGGCATTTTAAATTTGAACAGTCTCAAAAAAATGGCATTGTTGATGTAGAAAGTTTATATGCTAACTGACCCAATACATATACTCTAGAAGGAATATGTTATGGGTTGAATTGTGTCCCCCAATAGATATGCTGAAGTCTTAACCCCCAGTAGCTGAGAACATAACCTTATTTGGAAATAGGATCATTGCAGATGTAATTAGCTAAGATGAGGTCATACGGAACAGGGTGGACGTATATCCAATATGGCTACTGTCCTTATGGGAGAAGAGACACAGACACACACACACAGCATCTAAAGATGGAGGCAGAGATTGGAGTGATGTATCTACAAGCTAAAGAACACCAAGGATTGCTGGTATCACCAAAAGCTAGGAGTGATGTCAGAAACAGGTACTTCTCTCACAGCCTTCAGAAGGAACCAACCCAGTTGACACCATTATTTCAGACTTTTAGTCTCCAGAACTGTGAGAGAATACATTTCAATTGTTTTAAGCTATTTAGTTTGTGGTGCTTTGTGACAAAAGCACCAGAAAACTAATAGAAAATATTTTAAAATATGGTCAGTTCTTATGGTACTTTTCTACTATTAACCGACAAGAACTGGGACAGCATGCCAGGAATTGGATGCTGAGAAACTTGGACTTGGCGGGAGAAGTGCAGAGTGTCCCTGGGTCACTGGAGTCAAGACTATACTCTTGAAAGCCTCTTTTGGTCATTTCATGCCCTTCCTCTCCCAGCTCCCTGGAAGCCTCTATAAGATAAATTCCACATTGCTGACATTATTGAACCTGTGATCATAATAATCACATTTTCCCTATAAATTCTTACAGTACTCATTCTTGTGTACAGATGCCTAACCATACATTTTGAGTCATCAGTTAGCAGATTCTCTCCCTCTACTATTCCTTCATGTGCCATATGAAAGATCAATTTTGAAGGATGTTTCATGATCAAATTAAAAAAAATAGGTATGGTAAATATAGCCAGAGAATACCATGTAGGGAGTTAATAATTAGAGAGGAAAGGAAATTATTTGTTTTCTTACCATTCTTCTCGAAGAGGGTGATTTTTGTAGTACCTTTGAAGTCTTGGGGCTTATAACCTAAATAAAACACATTTAGTCCTCAGGATTAATATTAGGAAAACCACCACATGCTGTTGTTAGAAGTGCAAATTATGAAAAATATTTTGGAAATATTTATCAAAGTATAAAATGACCCAACAATGTCACGTCTGTGAGTTTATCCTACAAATATACTTCATTTGTGAGAAATAATGTCTATACAGTTTTGTTCGGTGATATATAACTCTTAATAGCAAAGACTGTACATGATCTAACTGTTCACCAATATGAATTGTGTAAATAAATTAAGTTGTGTCTATGGAATATATGCAAAAGAAGCAAAGAAGGCTTTGTGAACTGATATAGAATAGTCACCATGATTTCTTACGTCAGTTTAGCAAGACGCAGGACATTTCATGTATATTACCATTCATGCTAAAAGGAGGAAGAACAATACTGAGAGTTCAGCTCAGCTCTTCCATGGTGTTGCTGCCTCAGCATCCATTTTGTCTGGCCAAGCAGCCTGCAGTGGCCTTAAACTGACAGTAGTCCCTCGTGTCAGCCTATGCCCTAGATAACAGCCCACGGAGTCACGAGCAAATCAGTGTCCTGATATGACTTCCCTTGTAGCCCCTGTGATCAACAGTCTCCCCACCTCCCAAGGTCATGTCCTTGTGTGAACCTTAGGTGAACCTTTTGGGGCTCACCAAAAGCCTACTCTTGGTTTGAATTGACCAATGTGGCCTTAGCCTGGGAACCCCAAAGCACTGCTCTAACCATGGACTCTAACCAAGGAATGTGCCCCAGGTTCTGTGGCTATGTCGATATCTTGCCTTGACCTGCCCTTACGGCTCCTTGGGGGCATTCTGTGTACTTTCCCCAGAACCTCTGTCTGAGTAATAAACTTTTCTATTTCAATTTCTCTTATGGTTTGTTGTTGAGCTGTGATTCACCACCCAGTGCCTGTGTTCCACTTAACAAATGTTAATTTAACAAGTCATAAGAAACATATATTCCTATTTGCTTGCATGTGCATCGTGCTTCTTTGGAAGTACACAAGCCTGCATGTTCCCGGGCACGCCGCCCACCCTATCACTGGTGACATGATTTGTCTCCAGGAGGGGAAGTCACAGATGGCCAATTTATATTCTATACTGTTTTGTACCTTTTGAACTTTGAAACCTGTTAATGAACTGTCTATTCTAAGCAAAGTTAGGAGGAAAATACATGGAAAGTAAAACAGAACTAAAGAAAGACTATTTCTTCAACTTTATAATTTGCTTCCATGTTACTTCTAAACTTTAAATGCCACCTTTTTTCCTATTGCTAATGTTAACACCAAAAAACTAAAATAGCTGACATAGAGTGAATGCATACAACTTACATAGTGCTTTCCACACACATTAAGTGAGCTGATGCTAATGACAACTCTGTGAATTAGGTGTCATTACTCCCCCCCCCCCCAATTTATAATATGAGAAAATTGAGGCACAGAGAAAGGTCTTAATTCGCTGAGGCTATTAGCCCTAAGGATGCAAACAGAGAAGGGATTAGGTATGAAAAACCAATGGATCTTGGTAAGAACAGCAAATTTGGTGGGATTTAAACTCCCACCTTTTCCATCTCTACTCCCTAGCTCAGTGACAGGCTTGAAAACAACAGGCTGTGTTCCTGGTCCAGATACAGGAAGGAGCAGAATGACTCAGGCGCAAAGATCTCTGATTCTTTTTCTGTCCTGGTTAATGGCTGCCTAGAAGACTGGCTCAGAAGACTTGTCTACCTTGACTAACTTGGAACCTGACCACTGCTAAAGTGGTGTGATGTTGAAAACACTTACAGGCAAATGTTCTAGTTACTGTCACCCAATGCAGTGGGTAAGAGTTGGAGAAAACAACAGACCAAGAAGCTTGAGAGGCAGGGCTGGAGACTGAGATATGTTGAAGAGCAAGGGCTTTAAAAAGCTCCAAATGTTCTTGAGAATGAAAAAGACCATATGCATGCCCAGGACCATGTATGTGTTCCAAACAAACAAACAAACAAACAAACAAACAAAAACTTGAAAAGGACTTAAGCTATCATCTCTGGCTGACCTACAGGCTCTGTCCAAGCAGAAGTGAAGCTCAAGCACAGCCAAAAACTGCATGGCTGAAGATGTGCCCCCAACAAACATGCAGTTCATCTGCAAAGACTGGGAGCTTTTTGGTACCAGGTGTTTAAAGATACTCTCTGTGTAAATGTCAGCTAACCATTAAGCTCATGGAATAGACTTCAGTAACACAAAACAAAGAATTCAAACCTTACAAAATTATCCAGCAGGAAAGTAATTAAATAAAGCAACAACGGCTACAACAAACAGCAAGAAACCCTGGAGAGGAGGGAGAATCTTATTTCCAGAGTTGCCACATTACAATGTTTAAATGTCCATTCTGCAACAAAAAATCATGAGACAGGCAAAAAACATCAAGAAAATATGGCCCATACACAGGAAAAAGGAGTTTCAAAAGAAACTCCTTAAGGACACCTAGATAATAGACTTACTGGAAAAAGCCTTTAAGTCAGATATTTTAAATATGTTCAAAGAACTAATGGAAACCATGTTTAAAGAACTAAAGGAACCATGAGAACTATATCTCACCAAATTGGGAATATCAAAAAAGAAACAAATTATAAATAAGGAATCAAATGGAAATTCTGGACTGAAAAGTCCAACTGAAATAGAAAATCTACTAGAAGAGCTCAATGGCAGATTTAAGGAGGCAGAAGGAAAATGTCAGTAAATTTGAAGATATGTCCATTGATACTCTCCAGTCTGCGGAACAGGAACTAAAAAATAAAGAAAAATGAACCCTTAAGAAGAATTATAGGATAACATCCAACATGAAGTGCACCAACACATATATAATTAAGAGTCCCAGAAGAAGAAAGAAAGGAGCAGGGAATATTTGAAATAATTATGGCTGAAAACTCCCCAAATTTGCTGAAAGACATGGATCTACCAGTTCAAAAAGCTCAACAAACTCCAAATAGGATAAATTCAAACAGATCCACACCAAGATACATTACAATCAAACTGCCAAAGGACAAAGAACCTTGAAAGTAGCAAGGGAAAAGGAGCTCAGCATACCCAAGAGATTTTTCAGTAAGATTAATAGGTGATTTTCCAGCAGAAATCACAAAAGCCAGAAGACAATAGAATAACGCATTCAAAGAAAAGCTGTCGAGCAAAATTATCTCTGGCAAAACGATACTTAAAAATTAAGAAGAGGTCTTTTAGATGCCACCACCCCAGAGCTACCTGTGTTGCCCACCCATGGTCAACCCCTCCATGTTCTTTAATATTGATGTTGAGAAGTGAGCCCTTTGACTATGTTTCCTTGGAGCTGTTCCAAATGCAACAGAAAACTTTCATGCTCTGAGCACTGGGGAAAAAAGATTAGGTTACAAAAGTTCCTGCTTTAACAGATTATTTTGGGATTTATGTGCCAGGGTGGTGACTTCCCATGCCATAATGGTACTGTCAGAAGGTCTACCTATGGAGAGAAATTTGATGATGAGAATTTTATCCTGAAGCACACTGGTCCTGGCATCTTGTCCATGGCGAGTGCTGGACCCAACACAAACGGTTCCCATTTTTCATGTGTACTGCCAAGACCGAGTGGCAAGCATGTGGTCTTTGGCAAGGTGAAAGAGGGCATGAACACTGTGGGAGTCACAGAGCACTGTGGGTCCACAAATGGCAAGACCAGCAAAAAGATCACCACTGCTGACTGTAGGCAAATATAATAAATTTGACTTATGTTTTACCTGAGCCACCAGACCATTCCTTCTGTAGCTCAGAAGAGCACCATTCAACCCCATCTGCTTAAACTAGCCTATAATCTTTGTGCTCTTGCCACAGTTCTTTGGGGTCCATATTTTCCTTATCCCCCTCTAAGTCCAGCTGATTTACAGAGTTATGTTTATGATTATTAAATAAAAACCACACAATCAAAAACTGAAGAAGAAATTAAGACATTCCAAGATAAATGAAAGCACTCCTAGTCGATCTGCCCTAGAAGAAATGTTAAAGATAGTCAGTCCTTCAGGCTGAGATGAAGGGGCACTAGATAGTAACTTGAACCTGCATGAAGAAATAAAGAAAACCAGTAAAGATAACTACATACATAAATATAAAAGGAAGCATTACTGTATTTTTTACAACTCCACTTTTTTTCCATCTTTAAAAGACACGTCTATAAAGCAATAATTATAAATCTATGTTGATTGGCACACCATTTATAAATATGCAATTTGTGACAATAATAACATAATGTAGGAGATATGGAGACCTATAGGTAGAGTATTTATATACTATTGAATTGAAGGTGAAATTAAGATGAACCAGATTGCTATAAATTAAAATGGTATTTGTAATCCCCAGGGCAACCACTCAGGAGATAATTCAAAACTGTGTAGTAAGAGAAACAACCATTTCTTTCAACAAAAATATATATTAAAATAGTTAAAGTGGTATATTAGGAATACTTATTCATCACAAATAAAGGCAGTAATGGAGGAACTGTGGAACAAAAATCATGTAAGACATAGCAAAAAAAAAAAAAAAAAACAAAAACCCAGAAGAATTGAAAGGATAGACAGTTGTGCAACAGCTAGAAACTTCAATACTTCACTCTCAATAACAGAAGAACTAGGCAGATCAGAAGAAAAGCGAAACCTTTGTCTAGACCTAACAGACATCTACAGAACACTAGCAAAACAGAATCTGTTCTTAAAGTTCACACAGAACATTTTTCAGGATATACAGTATGTTTTTCAGGCCATAAAATAAGTCTCAATGAATTTAAACATATCAAAATAATATAAAGTATATTCTCTACCCACAATGGAATTAAATTAGAAATCAGTAACAGACAGGAATCTGGGAAATTCACAAATGTGTGGAAATTACACCATACTCTAAAATAACGAATGGGTCAAAGGAAAATTAGAAAGTACTTTGTGGTTATTTTTTAAATTTTTCTGTTAACATTTTATTCATT